AGGAGCTACGTGGCAATGTTCTATAGGACCTCTAATATGAGTTGACTTTGTAGGATACATGCCTTCACTTATAAGGCAAGTTTTTCTATGTGTGGGCCACATAGTTAGCTTGGTCTTCAAGCTAACAACATATGTGACACATGGCCAACTTGTTGACCACATTTCTAATACAAAAATCAATTAAATACACCTATAAAGTCAAAGCGGCATCTATAAAGCTTCTGGGAAGCTTCTATATTAAATACTATAGAATTAACTTAATTTTACGTATTTTTACTTATTTCTACCTATTTGTATATGTAATTACTGGCTTACGTGAGTATGTCCATGATAATACCTCCAAAAGTATCACTAAACACTGGGAGTCTGTTCAAAGGTTGTGGTACCAAATGCATTGTATCTTCCCATCTATTTGAGAAAGAATATGTCATTCTTGAAGAACTTCATCTCAATTTTGCCATCTCAAAGGTTGTGATAGTTACAATGTCTTATTTGGTAGCTCAACAAATCATAGCTCTTGAGTTGAATCTGCCAATTGTTGGTTCTCTATCTTCTAAGCATTAAAAAATCTAAAGAAACAATGATATAAGATAGAATGAAATCTCTATTGGGCTTGCTTTGATTTATAGCAAAGATTTTTTTGACTTTTTATCTTGGTTTTGATAGATGTCATTGATGAAATGTTTTGGTGGATATCATTAATGACAAACCTTATTATTTTCCTAGCTAATAAGTGATATTGAACTCAAATCTTGACAAAGATATATTTCAACTAGCTTGGCAATGATTCAAAATATGTGCTAACATGAAATACTCAAGGTTCTTTTGATATGTATATGTGGTATCTACACTTGAAGCACCTTCTAAATAATGATGCTATTCTTAAAAAGAATCCACGATTGTAAAAAGTTATTTATTGTAGATTTCATAATTTATCTTGGCTGTTGAAAATTTTCTTGAATAAAAAGCTACTGAATGAAGTTTTTCATCTGTTGCTATGTATGACAAGATTGTATCAAAGGCAAAGTCAAATGCAACTGTCTCTATAAAAAATGCTTTGGAGAAGTCATCAAGATGGAAGATTAGTGAAAAAGTAAAAGCTTCCTTCAAAGCTTCAAATGATGCTTCTACTTTTTTATTCCACTCAAGCTTGTGTTTATAATTTAAGCATGTAAGTGGTGCTGTAACTTGCGAAAAATTCTTGATGAAGATCTGATAGTAATTGGCAAATCCTAAAAAACATTATATATCTCTTATTATTTTTGAAATCTTCTAGTCCATGATTGTGTGAATTTTTTTAAGATTCATCATTAGACCATTGATTAAAATAATATATCCTAAGAAGTCAACTTGAGTAGTGTGGAATACACACTTTTTCATCTTGGCATACAATCTCATATCTCTAAGTTTTTTTAACACATGATGAATATGAAATTTTTGAATTTTGATCAAAAGAACCTCAACATTAATATAATTTAATCACAACATCAACAACTTTTCAATTTAAACATTTGTAAGTAGAAGACATGTAAATTGATGCAGTACATTTTAATCTTCTTATCAAATAAGAAAAGACTTGTCATCATCAAGAAAGAATATGTTTATATTGTAGAGAAGCTAAGCACACTACTCAATATGTAACTACAAAATGAAGAGTATTGTTATCAAAGATGAAAACATGTCCAAAGATGAATTTATCCAGCTACAATAGGGACCATGTGGCTGGAATCTTATACAATTCCTAATGATGGTCCTATTCTTTCCTCAAAACCCTCTCCTTGTTTTACAATAGATGTGCATTTAGGATCTAATAATGACAAAGCCTCTGTCTTAATAGATTCAAGAGCCTCAAATTATTTTTTAGATGAAGAATTTGTTAAAAGTCATAATATATAGTTTGTATAAAAAATTAAATCCATACATGTAGAAGTCATAAATGGTCATCCGTTATCTTTTAGAGATGTTACTCATGAAACACTTCCTATAGATGTAGTAATAAATGGTCATAATAGTCGCGTAATTTTTAATATAATTAGATCTCTTTTTAATTCAATCATTTTAGGTTTATTGTGGCTAAAAAATTATAATTCTATGATAGATTGGATTTCTTGTAAACTTGATATTTCTTCAACCATCATTAAGAATTTTTCTAATTTAGTGGGAAGCCATGAGTTTAGTGTAGCCAAACCTGTACCTGTAGGTGCAAAAAAAATTTTGCATGCTACAAAAGAAGGATTGTCTTTTGTTATTTACGCCACACCTATTTTAAATGATGGAAGATTTCAAGTAAAATTCCAAGTCAATATCAAGATTTTCAAGATGTTTTTGAGAAGAAGAATGTAGATAATCTCTCAGAGTATCATCTATATGATTATTCAATCAATCTTATAAGATTGAATCTAAGGGATGACTTTTTAAATTTTGATCTAAGGATTGAATACAAGAACTTTATATTCCTTAGATTGAAATTCAAAAAGTCAATTATTACAATCCACAACAAAGTCAATTGTTTGACTTAATGTCTGAGGATCAAGTAAATTGAGTATCAATTTCTTTACTTCATCTTATAATTTGTAGAAAAATTGGTTGATGAGTGTTGCATCATCTGACTTGATATTTGTCGCTAATTGTCAAAATTATGAAGCATATAATTTCACTGATTGATTGCCTTGTTGCAAGATACGAATCTTATTGGTTGCAATATAGATTGCATCATATTCTCCATACATAGATCGAAACTCCACTAAGAATGCTTTCAAATTATCCAATATTGAATCACGTCATTCAAGAAATGTTGAAAACCATGATAAAGTAGAACTTGAAAGTAATGTTCCAATAAACCTGATTTGTGATCCTTGAGTTGGATAACTTTGACGTTGTAGTTCAATCATGAGTTGTATCTGATTGATGAATCCTTGAAACTTAGATCTTGTGCCATCAAAATTTTCAAGCAATCTAATTTTTTATTTCTTTGAAACTTGAACAATGTTCTGTTGTAGGAGTAGTATTATGGTTTGGTGTAGATGTTGAAGCAACTCCAATCATCTCTATATCTTCATTACCTGATAATCTTCTTGCTCCTTATCATGATAGACTGAGTTGATACATTGCAAGCATTAACTTTCTTATTTTCTCTTACATTTGAGCCATTGCACTCTTCATTTCAGCAAGCTCTGTCATGCTAGCATAATAAAAAGAAAGGTGTCTATAAATATGTATATATATGTGACAAGTAGAGAGAGTTGCATCAAGAAAGCATTTGGCTTCTAGCTATCATTAATTGCTCAATCAAGTTTCAAGATAAGAAAGTACCAAGTTTATATATAAAATTATTCCTATATGATTAATTACATCAATACAAAAGCATTAAGTACCAAAGACCATCCAAAATGTAATAAAAATATTCTAAATCCTTCTATATCATGAAGGTGAATTTTCTTTGAACTTTAAGAGCTCATATTTCATGATTGGACCATTCAAACAAATTGAAATTTTTATAAAGTACTGATGTACTTTAAAAAATTACTAAAACAAATTTCAATTGAAAATTTATTATAGGATCTTGAGATATTGCCAAAATCCTAGTAGTAGCTTCAAATCCTTGCTTATATATACCTACGTGCTTACTAAATATTCAAATACCATAAATTTTAGTATGTAGATTTTCAACTTGATGACTCATATCTTTAAAAAAATTGAGCCAAAAATTCATCTGAAAACTCAAGATATGGCTCTAGCCATTACTATCAACAAAATGACTCACTTATTACCTTTGAATTACATATGTTGTCTTCAACGCTCTATAACTCCTTCATACAAACTTCAAATGTAGCAATTTTTTTGCAAAAAATATGGATCTTAAAATCACCTTTGTGGCCTTATCTTTCAATCTCCAAAAGCTATTGTATAACTCCTTGCACTTCAAAAGAACAACAATATGTCTTTAAATGACACCTTAATTTCAAATAGCTATAACTTCATCACCTTAATTTCAAACCTTCTAAAATTTGAACACAAATTGTAGTTCAAACCCTAAACCTTACAACTCTTACTTTTGATTCTCAAATGCCCCTTTTGAAGTTACAATTCTTGCTTTTGATTCTCAAATGTCTCCTAAGAGCCTATTAGGCATGACTTTCGACCAATAAAGATGAAGACCTTCATCCCTTGCCTTCATCCATCCATATCTTGCTTTTATTTCTCCAAATAAGCTTCTTAGAAGTTTAGATCTTCATCTTTGAGTTCAAATCATTTCTTTAAATTTTATATTAAATATCTAAATTCTATATAATTTAAACACTACAATTAAAATAGATAAATCTCAAAATAATTTTTTTTATATCAACTTTCTTTAAATTAACCTATTAACCACTCTAATACACATCATTATTTATAAATATATTATATGATTTAGTTAAATTTTACATACTATAAAAAATTATAGTACAACACCAACAATACTTGTTAGCATGATCATTAAGTAAAGTTGTCAATGATAATTGTTCATATAAGATACAAGAGTCATTTTTGAAAATTTTAAAAATAAAAGAATATTCTTAATATTTTAGGATATTTGAGAGGTATATTTAAAATTTTCAGTTTATTTTTCTCTCAAATAAAAGAAAAAAAACTAATGTGAAAGTAAATACATCATAAAAGACTAAATACGTAGAAAAAAATAACATAAAAAACATAAAATCTGTAAACAAATAGATCTTGGTCATTGAAGTAAAGACCAATACAGAGGAATATAAACACACTGCATATTAAGCTCAATCTATACACAGATAAGGACATAGACGTAATTTGAGTACGAATTTACACAAGATTTCATGCACAAGATAATCCATACACACAATACAATACATACGATAAATACATACCTATGTATTGAGATAGGTGCGCCACGAGATCTACGTACATTTACGGAGGAAGCATATGAAGGCAGCTCCAGCGCGGAAGGAGGGAGGGAGGCTATAAAATGAGATGCGTCGGGAGCGGATGGCGACGACGACGACAAGCGAGTGACGAGGCACCCTCATCAAAGCAACCGGGCGATGACAACACCGCTGTTGCTCTCACAGATGCCGACGAGGAGATGATGATGATGAAGGAGGAGGCAGTGGAGAACGAGTAGAAGACGAGCAAGTAGTCGACGAAGAAGAAGAAGAAGAAGAAGAAGTAGAAGCCTCCACTACTACTGCTGTTGCTGCTTGCTGCCAGGGTCGGTTTCTAACCCAAATCCGTCCCTCGTTGTTGTTCTTCTTCTTACCCACCTCGAGAAAGAGTGTTGGTGGTGGTGGTGGTGGTGGTGGTGCTCTCTTGTCTATTGACAGAATTGTGTCTCTCTGCGTGTCACTGGCCATCATGCCTCCCGCTCTCACCCTCTCCCCTAATTGCTCTCCTTCTCTCCACCATTCGCACCTCTCCTCGCTCTCTCTCTCCTCGCACTCATCCCTCTGGAGCCATGTCGCCTTCTCTCGCTCCTCCTCCTCAATATCTCCTTCCGGCGTCCACGTGCGCGCTGCGGACTCCAGTCGCCCCCGCCGCTCCGTCGGGCAATCCAATGCGAAGACTGAGAAGTATTACTTCACCACGGAATCCGACGAGCCTGCTTCCTCCTCCCCTTTTAATGCCGAGTCCATGCCGTTGCTGGCAGGCGCTGCAGCTGCGGTGGGATTAGGTTTCGGTAAGCACCACATGGTTGTAAAATTACTTCAAGTACCTTGGGTCATCTCACTCTACCTTATCCTTTACGTTTCCCTTCAGAGTTGGCTGTAATTTTGTAAGAACATGATTTGAAATCATCTCGATTCTCGCGCGACTTTGCATCGTGTGATAACGTGCTCACATCTTCTCATTCACGTGGAATTGATGTTTGCTGCTAATGGGTTTATTTTTTGTCTACTCTATTGCGGTGCTGGGAATTGGATTGCCTTTTCTTTTTCTAGGGATTTTCTGTAGTCAATCAGATAACTCCAGGTGGACATGGCAGTGGTTTACAAGTACTTGAGCAAGAACGGCATTTCGCTCAGTATGCCTAAAATGAATACGGGAATAGAAGTAGGAGGAGCAGGAGCTGGTGCTGATAGGAAGTTTCGACGCGAATCAATGGCGAAACTGAATGAATTCTCTCGGGAGCTTCGCACTTTTCGTGAAGTAGATTTGGCAGGTGCAATTTTCTTGCTTCGTAACTATTCTTCTTCGTCCACTTCACTGAGGTTGAGTTCCATGTAAAAATGATTGTCGAGTGGCATGCTACCGTTCGTTCGGCTTATTGCTTATGTGTACGGGGAAAAAAATAAAATAAAATAAAATAACACTATTGGATTTTTTATTTCTACGTGCATCTTACCCATGTCAAAGTTGAGCAGTTTAGTCATGGGCTTCAGCTTCGCAGAGATAGTAGGTTACAGTGCTAATCCTGCCTCATTGTCTCTTCCGAATTTTGGTAGAGGTCATATCTATATATGTATTCTCTTAGCGTTGTTGGAAACTTATCGTGATTATGGACGTCCGCACAAGGTTGCGCTGTGAACTAACAATTTCTGTACAGGTAAAGGTTTTGGGGACGAAGGTTTTGTGTATCTAGCCGAAGGTTTGGCATTCAACCAGGTCAGTAGTTACTCAAAGATTTTTATCGATGTTTGTACACATTTCTCGCTGCGCCTTGCTCCTATGCAGATTGATGTCTTGAAGAGATTTCATTGGTATACAACAGTATCATTTCGGACTGTGATTCTAGCTATCGTAAACATAATACTGCCAATTATTTTAATGGATGAATCAATCTGAGAAGTTATTAACGAACGTGTAGGACATGGGCCGTGTGTATTCTATTTTCATATAGGATTTTGTTGCGCAAGGAAGTCTTACTACTTGTGGACACCCTGTATTTATCTGTGACGTAATCTGTTTTTTTTTGGATGAGGCAGAGTGCTGAAAGTGTCGATTTCTCGGCCAACGGCATCACGGCCACTGGGATCAAGGCTTTGTCTCAAGTGCTGCCTGCAAACACGTTTTTGAAAACCCTAAACTTGTCCGGCAACAGTATCGGCGACGAGGGAGCTGCGGTGCGGATCTCTCATGATGCATGTGTCTGGTGTTTAGAAGATGCTTTTATTTCTTTATTTGTTTCTTTATTCTGTTTTGATTGGATTTCATCCCATCAAACATCAGAAGATCCGAAGCGACTGCCATTAGTATATTGATACACATGGCTTTTCCATGCCTATTCATAACTGATTGATGATTTCCTGCCGTATATTGTAGATGTATTCATGTAGATTTTGTCAATTTTTGGTTGAATTGTGAGCGGACACAGCAGAAGCGTAGTACATCAATCATGTTAAAATTGAATTAAGAGGTCTACGGTGTTATGACGTCCTGCTTGTTACTCGTGCAATTTTCCTGTTTTCCTTTGTTCAAAAGTTCCAGTGTGGCAGGAGCTAGCAGGTTTACTGGAGAAGAATCAAGGAATCACAAAGCTTCAGCTCAACAGCATTAACCTTGGTGACGAGGTACGATATAGAGATCTTGAAACCTTAACTTGGAGTTTGGTCTCAAGTGAGGTTAGATCTGGCCTACCTGAACGTACTGCTCATTGGTATCGGTCAAACTCTAATATAATTAGTAGACATGCATTTATTTTGTGCCTTTTTCATCGGGGTTTTGGATATGATTTGATGTTTCACAGGGAGCTAAAGCCATTGCTGAAATGTTGAAGAAGAACGAGCACATAACAACCTTGGAGCTTAACAATAACGTTGTTGACTTTGCGGTAACAGAACTCGGTCATTGATATCTCACTATCACTGTATGAAGTATTCCCATTTTAACAATATGTTATGCATCACCAGAAGGCTGTGAACTAGCACCATTAGGGAATCTATTCAAGATGAGGGCTGTTGAAGTTTACCAGCCTAATACGAATTGTATCTTATCGATTCGCAGGGATTTGCTGCCATTGCAGATGCTTTAACTACGAACAAAACCCTTCGCAGTATTCAAATCAAGTTGAGTCGTTTTTGAGTTTATTGCAATTAGCATCACATTTAATCTGGTTTTGCCCTGGTAGATAGGAGTTCTTATTTTATGTGTCTTTTAAATAGCGCTCTTCTGTTATGGCTTTGTGTAATCAAATGCTTGCTTGTTGAGCACTTGATTTTTGGAGGTGGAATCATTTGATGGTCATTTAATGGTGGTAGCCTTATGCATTTTAATTTTATAATGAATCAATTTTTTTAGCCTGTATTACAATCCGGTAAGACTCGGGTGAGGTAGCATTCACAGAAATGTTATAGCTCTGCTCAGTACTCTTAAATTTACTAGTTGTCTCAACTATAATTGAGTTGTGGAAATATTGATAATACAGCAACAATTACGGTGGAGCTCTTGGAGGCTCTGCATTCGCGAAAGGATTGCAAGAGAACAAGTCTTTGCGGGTGAGTGGCCAATCCGTTTTGCTCTACACTTCATAGCTAGATTTTAGTACTTATTTACTTACGTAACTTTTTATAAGACACACATATACTCATTAATTACTTACTCTCAGGAATTGCATCTCCATGGGAATGACATGGGTAATGAGGGCATTCGAGAATTGATGGTGGGTTTGATGGCCCACAAAGGTATTTCTTTGCTATTTAATCCAACTCAGTATATGTGCTTTTATTCACTAAGCACTTACATGACCCTCGTGCCGTCAGTGTGTCACGTATGGATATTGTTAAGTGTGTTGTGGGTTCCGAAATCTGCGTGTCTTAGACGATATCGTATAATCATTTCATATACTCTACATTTTCTGAAGTGGCTCATCGCATGATTGAGCAGGAAAGATCTCAAACTTAGACATTGGAAATAACAAAATAGGGCCAAAGGGTGCGTTTCATGTCGCTGAGTACATCAAGAAAGCTAAATCTCTTCAATGGTTGAATTTGTACATGAATGACTTTGGTGATCAGGTTTGATCTCAATATTTTCATTTCCTTTCATACTACCCTTTTTCATAAGAGTCAGCGTTGAAGATAATGATGTCTTGTGAAATTTGCATTCATCCCTTAAAGCTATCTTTCATAAATAGCAGTACTTTTTCTTAGCTTCCCCTCAATTGTTATTCCTTTTTATGATTTTGAATTCTTTTCTGATTAATGATCCCCTAAGGAGTGTAGATAGCTTAACGTTGTGCTTCGTTGGGCTGCCCAGGGAGCTGAAAGAATAGCTGAAGCCTTGAAGCGGAACAGATCTATTGTCACCATAGACTTGGTAAGTTCCACCCTAATACTTCGTATAAACTGATCTTTAAGAATTTGTGATGACGTGCCGTTTTCTACATTTCATGTGCTTGTATGCCTGTGTCATAAATGGAAGTTTTCTGCTGGTTTCACAGGGTGGAAACAATATTTCAGCTGAAGGAACCGCTCATTTAGCTGCTGCCTTGAAAGACAATTCAACTATCACTACTGTAAGTGCTAACTTACTAATGGCTCACAATGATTGCTTTACCTGGACACAGCATTTATTCCTGCGAGTCTTACATTATTTATGGGTGCATCGGTGGAAATATGTTGCCTCTTTGTGGATGCGTGTTAAGTAATGAAAATCCTGATGTTAAGATTGACTTTTCTGTGCACTTGTTATCTTCAGTTTGAATTTAGCTACAACCCAATTGGAATGAACGGTGCCAAGGTTTTAGCTGATACCCTGAAGTTTCATGGTAAAATTGAAACGCTTAGGTTGGGTTGGTGCCAGGTATGTTTATCAGTTTTGAGAACCCCCATTATAGTTCATATTTTGCTTTAGGATTTTGAGTTGATGATTTAAGACCCTTCTTCTCTACCACCCTTGCAGTCCCATCTATATTCAATTTTCTTTCTGGACTGCCTTTACTCGTTTTTTCTTAAATGCCCTTGTTCATATATTTGTAACCTCTCCAATTTCTCCTAGTTGCATTCACTTATTTGTCTTTTTGGTGTATTTGTAGACAAAATAGAAAGTCAATGGATTTAACTTTGTGTTGGATCTATCTTGTGTTTTGCAATTTGTAAGTTAATATGAACACACTTTTTTAGAATCTTACTGCTGTTCTTTTGGATGCATCTCCAGATAGGGGTGAAGGGGGCAGAAGCCATCGCCGATTGCTTGCTTTACAATGCTACTATCTCAACATTAGACCTGCGGGCCAACTCTCTTGGTGATGATGTATGGTTTGGACACCAACAAATTGATGATGAAATTATAGCAATTTTTGTCATTTACGTAATTGTCCGAAATATACAGACTACGTCCACTAACATGAAATTGTATGTGCAAACAGGGTGCGGCTTTACTAGCCAAGAGCTTGAAAGTAGTCAATGAACATTTAACGTCCCTTGACCTTGGTTTCAACGAAATTAGGGTAAGACATTCTGCTATATCTCCAGGCTGCAAGCACAGTTCATGACATTTAATGTATGATACCTTGAATCAGGCGTAGTTGAACGAAGCAAATCATAGCCTGCATATGAGTAGTGCAATTAATTGGGATTTTTCGTTGCCTTGGCTTATTTTGGCTACTGTATCTTTGACTGGTTCTTTCTACTTAGAGATTGTTTGTAGTGTATTTTGGTGCAGTAGTTATATCAGTGAAGTTGCAATTGTTTTCTAGGATGCCGGAGCTTTTGCACTCGCACAGGCATTGAAAGCGAATGGTGATGCTGCTGTTTCAACTTTGAATCTTACAAGCAACTTCCTTACTAAATACGGCCAGGTTCGAAGGATTGCTGCTCGCGTGTTTCTCATTATTTTTCCACGTCTTGTTTTGCTCACACGATTTGTCCGAAACACAAAAAGCTCCAAGTACCAATCGAAATTTACACGACCATTGTTTCTCGTATATGTTCTTGTTTGATTTGAGAAACTTGATCAATACTACGTTTGGTGTACGCAGGTCGCTCTCACAGAAGCTAAGGACCACGTGAGTGAGATGAACGATGGAAAGGAAGTTAATATTTATTTTTAGACAACTTGTAACTGGTCATCGTTTAGTGGTTGATTCAAACATCCACAAAGAGTTTGTAGCTAACAGATGGGGTTTCCAGTTTGAAGATTATCGTGTTGGAGATCGGAGATACGACCTAGTGAAATTACCGTTGTATTTTAAACCCTTTACAAAATCAATTTTGAGCTTAGCAATTCATCTTGTAACATGAGTCTTTTGGTACCTCGGGCGCTCTGCCCCTTTCTGAGGTTCTACTACTAGCTTGGAGCTTACTAGCTTCTGTTAGAGGCAATGTCAGACAAGAGGTGGTCAGGCTGCCAATGCTTTTTGTTAATGTCATTCCTAATTGTCGTGTTCATATCGTCGAGACAATTATTGTTTTGCTCAGAGGTGGCCTTTTGTTTGCCTTGAGAGCTATAAGTGGACCATGCGAAAGATGAAGTTGGGTGCCTAGCAGGGTCGTGTGTAACAAGCTTTCTTTGTGGAACTGTATGGAAAACAACTTTCTTTTTGTAGCCAATCTGAAGGGTGGCGTTTGAACGACCCATTTGAAACCATACAACTGGAGTTGCAAACATCGTTGTCTAGTTCTCCACTGAGGCCGTTGAGTTTAATGCTCCAGACAGTACAGAATGAATCTTATTAATCCTTTCATGCACCCTTCTAAATAGATAATGAGGCATTTGGCTACCTTAAGGCATTCTTTTTAATATCAAATTGAATGTATGCATATATGCATATACATATGTCAAGAATTTTTGTATTATAATTCAAGTTTGAAGTAATTGTTAACTGAAACCAATGTAAGATTCTGATTGTAAGCTATTTAGAGTAATGATAATTTAAGTATTAAACATTCTTTAATATTAATATTGCCTGTTTATCACTGAAATCCGTTTGAGTTTTGTCATATTTGACAATATCATAATTTGATTGTATTTATTCATCTATCTATTAGTAAGTAAATTTAGGTCTCATGAATATAAAGAGTAAAGAAAACATTAAATAAAATTCAACAAATAAGTACAGAACTTGATTGATTGTTTTTTTCTAAATTCAAGCAAACAAATGTGTGTTAGGATGAGTGTGCACTTCTTCAAAATGTATATATGTATATATGCAAAGATTTCCAATTCCTTAAAATTTTAAGTAGACATGTTGAACATAAAATTACATTAAGAATGTATGATTTTTTTGATGGCACCATTGTCATATTAAGTGTCTTCTTGTTTGGGAATGCATCAAGTACTTGGTTGTGGAAGGTGAAGTTGTATGTTGCAATTATCTAAGAAATACAAATAGGTTTTAACTATTAAGAAAGGAGCAATTTGAATTTTGATGCAAAAGGGCTTAAAGCCAATGCAAAATGCTCAAAAACACTCTTCTTAATTACTTCAAGCAATGTCACGGACATACATATAATTACCTATATGAATAGATAAAAGTATGTAAAAGTAGGTTAATTGTGTAATATCTTCTAGAAAAGCTTCTTAGAAGCTTCATAGACGCTGCTTTGACTTTATAGGAGTCTATAGTTGACTTTTAGGTTAGAAACTTGGTCAACAAGTTAGCCATGTGCCACGCATGTTGGAAGCTTAAAGAACAAGCTAACTACGTGGTCCATCCATAGAAAACTTGCCTTGCAAGCAAAGGCATGTGGCCTAGAAAGTCAACATATACTGGAGGTCTTATAGAACATCGCCACGTGGCTTCTAGTTAGATAGTATATATAGAGGCAAGAGTGAAGCCCTCTTCACTCTTGTCAACTCCTTTCTTGCTTCTAGTCTAGTTTCAAGGGTCTCTAGTTTTCTTGTATTTTGGCAATAGCCATTCCAGTTTCTTTCTTAATATACATATTTCTATTTTGTCCTATTTCTTTTTGAGAAAAGTCTCACTTACTCTTTAGCTTTCATCGAGTTCTTGTCCTTGACAGATTGACAAGAGTACACTTACAATATCAGAGCTTTGTCTTTTCTTGATTAAGAGTGGATTACCCTTTTTTCTTGATAAGACATAAGCGCATTAGAAGTTGCGGATTACCCTCTTTTAAACTGATATTGTTCTTAGTATTTTCTTTGTTATCAATTCCTCTCTTCTATTTGTTTTGAGCGTTATTAGACATCTTCTCTTTTCTAAGTGCTACTATGGCAGAGCTTGTTGAAATGAAGAGTGCAATGGCACAGATGCAAGAACAATTGAGGGAGTTAATGCTTGCGATGCATCAACTCAATTTACCACCACAAGGAGCAACAAGAATGGTAGGAAGTGAAGATATAGAGATGATTGGGGCTGCTTCAACATCTGCACCAAACCATGTCCCTTCTCCCAGAATGGAACACCCTTCGAGTGTTAGAGAACCGAGAGTTGCCTTGCCCGAGAAGTTTGATGGTACCAGATCCAAGTTTCGAGGATTCATCAATCAGGTCCAACTAGTGATTGAACTTCAACCCCAGAGCTATCCAACTCCAGGGTCACAAGTAAGATTCATTGGTACACTTCTTTCAGGTTCAGCATTGTCATGGTTTTCATCTTTTCTTGAACGACGAGATCCAATATTAGATAATCTGGAGGCTTTTTTGGCGGAGTTTCGATTCATGTTTGGAGAACATGATGCAATTCGTGTTGCAACCAACAAGATCCGTATTTTGCGACAAGGCAATCGATCAGTAACATTATATGCTTCGCAATTTCGACAACTTGCAACTGATATCAAGTGGGATGATGCCACAATTGTGAGTCAATTTCTCTACGGATTACAATATGAGGTAAAGAAATTGATGCTTAATTTACCTGATCCTCAAACATTGAGTCAAGCAATTGACTTTGCTGTGAAGTGCGACAATCGACTTTTTGAATTTCGATCCGAGAGTCGCACAAGTGGGCCTCAACGTTACTACAATTCAATGGCAACACCGACGTCTCCTCAACACATACCTTCAGAAGTAGAGGATATGCAAATTGATGCGGTACGTTTCAAACCTCTTACTGAGCAAGAAAAGTCTCGTCGTCGACAAGAAGGATTGTACTTATATTGTGGAGAACCTAAGCACACTGCTCAACATTGTCCAAAGAAGCGACGTAACTACAAAATGAGGAGTACGGCTGTCAAAGAAGACAGTATGTCGGAAAACGAGTACGTCCAGCTACAATAGGGACCGTGCGGCTGGAATCTTGTACAACTTCTAATAAAGGTCCTATCCTCTCCTCAGAACCATCTCCTTGTTTTATAATAGATGTGCGTTTAGGACCTAATAATTACAAAGCCTCTGCCTTGGTAGATTCAGGAGCCTCATCTTGTTTTTTAGATGAAGAATTTGCTAGATGTCATAGAATATCATTAATACAAAAAACTAAACCTGTACACGTAGAAGTCATAGATGGTCGTCCGTTGTCTTCTGGAGATGTAACTCACGAAACACTTCCTGTAGATGTAGTAATAAATGGTCATAGTAGTTGCGTAATTTTTAATATAATTAGATCTCCCTCTAATCCAGTAATTTTAGGCTTATCATGGTTAGAAAAGTATAATCCTCGAATAGATTGGATTTCTCGTAAACTTGATTTTCCTCAGAGCATTAATAACAGTTCTATTAACCAAGTAAAAAACCATGACTCTAGTATAGTAAAACTCGCACCTATAGGTGCAAAAGCATTTATACACGCAGCAAAAGAAGGATCAACTTTTGCTATTTATGCTGCACCTATTTCTGAAAGCGTAAAGACTTCAAGTGGCATTCCAAGTCAATATCAGGATTATCAAGACGTTTTTGAGAAAAAGAATGCAGATATTCTTCCTGAGCATCGCCCATACGATTGTTCAATCGATCTCAAGGAAGGAACTCAGCCACCATTTGGACCAATTTACAGTTTATCGCAAGATGAGTTGGCTGAACTCAAGACATATATTGACGAGAATTTAGCGAAGAATTTCATACGCCATTCAAAATCTCCAGCAGGAGCTCCAATTCTATTCGTAAAGAAAAAAGATGGATCTTTACGAATGTGTGTTGACTATCGAGGACTCAACAAGATCACAATCAAGAACAGGTATCCATTACCTTTGATATCAGGACTCCTTGACCAGTTAAATCAAGCTAAGATCTATACAAAAATAGATCTAAGAGGAGCATATAATCTAGTACGGATCAAAGAAGGAGATGAATGGAAGACTGCATTTCGAACCAGGTACGGGCATTTTGAATATAATGTCATGCCTTTTGGACTCACGAATGCACCAGCTGCTTTTCAACATCTCATGAATGATGTATTTCGTGAATTCTTAGACAATTTTGTCGTCTGCTACCTAGACGATATCCTGATTTATTCTAAGAATGTTGAAGAACATGAAATACATGTTCGTCAAGTATTACAAAAACTCAGAGATGCAGGATTGTACGCCAAGATGGAAAAGTGTGTATTTCACACTACTCAAGTTGACTTTTTAGGATACATCATTTCAAATGATGGTCTTATGATGGATTCTAAGAAAGTCCAAACAATCATGGATTGGAAGATTCCAAAGACTGTAAGAGATGTCCAATGTTTCTTGGGATTTGCCAATTACTATCGGATCTTCATCAAAGACTTCTCACGAGTTGCAGCTCCACTTACACGCTTGACTAGTAAAGATAAATTCCAATGGAATCAAGAAGCGGAAGCAGCATTTGAAGCCTTGAATACATCGTTTGTCTCTGCACCAGTCCTATATCGTGTTGACTTTTCCAAGGCATTTTTTATGGAAACAGACGCATCGGATTTTGCCTTGGGTGCAGTTTTATCACAAATGGGAACAGATGACAAACTTCATCTGATAGCTTTTCATTCAAGAAAATTCTCAGCAGCCGAGATCAATTATGAGATCCACGATAAAGAACTTCTTGCAATCGTGGATTCTTTTCAAGAATGGCGTCATTATCTAGAAGGTGCTTCTAGTCCAGTCATTGTGTATACAGATCACAAGAACCTCGAGTATTTCATGTCAGCACGCGTGTTGAATCGTCGTCAAGCTCGTTGGAGTATGTCTTTGTCAAGATTCGACTTCATTATCACTTATCGGCCAGGAAAACAACAAGGTTTGTCCGATGCCTTGTCTAGACGTTCTTATTTTGCACCAAAAGAAGGAGATGCAGCTTTTGAGCAACAAAGAACGGTCCTCTTGAAACCGGAGCAATTTCATCTCCGAGCAGTGAAATCAACATTGACTGTTGATTCAACTTTTCTCAAGCAAATCCAGTCCAGTATGTCCTCAGACCCTCTTGTTTATGATATCGAGAATAATTCTTCCAAGTCTCATGATTCTTCTCAGTTCGAGTTCAAGAATAATCTATTATATTTTGAAGGACGCCTATATGTTCCAGAAGGAAAAGC